TTTCACTAGAATTTGAGTTCTGCACCCCACCTTTCTCCTGCTCCATCAGGGACTCTCCGTTGTGTTCCCTGTCAGGGTGGTCATTGGTGGTAGCCGGGCACCATCGAGTTCTTCTGGTCTCAGGCTGATGAAATATCTGGTTTCTGTGGGCCTTTCATCTCTTGGGCTAATACTTTCCTTGTGTCTTTGGTGTTCTTCATTCTCCTTTATTCCAGGTGATTGCGACCAATTGATGCATCTTAGATGGCCACTTGCTAGCTTTTAAGACCCCAGATGCCACTCACCAAAGCAGGATGCAGAACATTTTCTTAATAAACTTTGTTATGACCCTGGACGTATCTTCAAACTCTATTCCATAGACTAGGTTCTGGTGTCCTTTCTGGACCCTGTTAGTGTCGACTCCAAACCCATCCAAAGTTTCAGCTTTAAAACTCTGGTCTCAGTGCTGAAACTAGCAACAGGGCTGACCTGCGACAGGGCCTTCGCACATGTTAATTTTGTTGCCTATAATGCTCCTTGTCTAGATACGTGTATGGCTCATTCCCTCTTTTCATTTAGGTCTATGCTCTAAGGCCACTTCCTTAGAGAAGCCTTCCCCGAATACCTTCCCAAAAGCAGAGCTCCACTTTCCAACCTAACCCTCCATTCCTTACCCTGCTTTAGTTCTCTCTACAGGGCACAAGCTCCATGAGACTGGACTCTGCTTTGCTCACGGCTGTGTCTCCAGTGCAGACGTGCGTGCTGCAGATGTGCTGAATGGACGCATGAGTGATGCTCCATAAGTGATATGGTTCCCTTAGCGGCTGGTTTTGGCTGCAGATGGGAACACACTGCAACAGTGATGCTAACGCCTACCTTTGTTTGTGACACACTTGCTTCTGTCTCTATTTCAGGATTTATCTACAACCATTCCTGCCGTGTCCCATCTCTATATCCACCCTTCTGGATAGAAGACTCTCAAGCTTTTTGATATACTGCATGAAGCAGCTTTTGCCTGCAGCTGCCTGCCTCTGGATTTTCTGTCCCCCACTCTCCCTGTGGCTCAGCAGTTATTTTAACTACACAAATAATGTTTAGAGATGTTCTATACCTAAAAACTTCATGATAAATGGAGGAAAGATTGAAGTTGTCAAGGATTTCAGTTTACTTGGATCCATAATCAACACCTATGGAAGCAGCAGTCAAGAAATCAAAAGATGCACTACCTTGGGCAAATCTGCTGCAAAAGATATCTTTAAAGTGTTAAAAAGCAAAGATGTCACTTTGAAGACTAAGGTGTGCCTGACCCAAGCCATGGTGTTTTCAATCGCCTCATATGCACATGAAGGCTGGACGATGAATAAGGAAGACTGAAGAAGAATTGACGCTTTGAACTGTGGTGTTAGCGAAGGATATTGAATATACCATGAACTGCCAAAAGAACGAACAAATCTGTCTTGGAAGCAGTACAACCGGAACACTCCTTAGAAGCAAAGATGGCAAGACTACATCTCACATACTTTGGACATGTTATCAGGAGGGATCAGTCCCTGGAGAAGGACATCATGCTTGGTAAAGTAGATGGTCAGCAAAAAAGAGGAAGACCCTCAATGAGATGGACTGACACAATGGCTGCAACAATGGGCTCAAGCATAACGATTGTGAAGATGACGCAGGACTGGGCAGTGTTTCATTCTGTTGTACACAGGGTCACTGTGAATTGGAACTGACTTGATGGCACCTGACAACAACAACATACCTAAAAACAAAGGCGTAAAGCATTTTCAAACAAATACCCTAGAAATCTGAAGGACAAAAATGAAACTGTATACAACCGTTAGACCCCTTTTCAGATATAAAGGTGTAGGTGGAAGGCATTCCAGGGACATGGTGGGCATTTAGGAACCCAAAAAGTAACCTGAACTCTTAAGTTGAGGAGGTGGAATATGTAAGTATAATGTATTCAGGTAAAAAACTAAAACGTTTGTTCAATTTCCTATTAAATTCTGTTTGGCTCTTGTTGGAAATAAATCCAGAGCTGCCGATCTTTATTTATGAACACTTATGTTTTTCCCCAGCTCCTGACACATGGCTGAAGAAACTGTCAGGTTTTTTTTTTAAAAAAAGAAAAATGTTATGGGACTGTGTTCTTCACAATATAGCAAACAAATATTTGCAAGGGCTAATTTTCAGGAGGAAAAAAAAGAGCTGCTAATTCATTCGTAGTTTCTGCTTCTTCCAATACCTCATGTTTACCATCTCCATGTCCATACAGGTGTAAATTTTTCTGAAACAAGGTAGGGCTTTACATAAGGATTAAAACAATTTTTTCCAGTTTTCACGTGTTTTTTTGAGGTGATGTATTTCTAACAGTCCAGTCCCAGTTTATTTCCTGTTGCAGAGACAGAAGAATCTGAAGTTGGGAGATGCTTCCAGCAGAAAGGGGTGGGGATGGGGGCAGGAGTGGAGGACAGGGGTGGTTGTGGTATCCGAGGTGCTGCCGAGCCACACTGTGGCTCCTAGGGGTGTTGCCCAGCCCCCCACGTGACCTACTACTTTACAGCAGTGCTCTCCCTTCCACCCTCAGCCTCTCCACCTCGGGTCTGAGAGTTGCAGTAGTAAGAAGGCGCTGACAAGACTGTCCCAAATTTACAGTGAGGTCTTACTCTCTTCTGTTCATGAGTGACACATTGTCTCAAATGATTCAAGAGTCCACATGACTGTGCTGACTTGGAAAGCAAACCCAACGTCTGGTTTGGATGACGGAAATCCAGGGACATACACAAGGCAGGGAGGCTTGTCCTGCAGTTAAGGCTGACGGCCAGCAGATGTGAGTGCTGCTCTGGTCTCTGGATGTTTCTGTTTGCTGGTGGGTGCACACCTGCTGGCGCCTGGAAGCTGGTGTTGGCCTGCGGAGATCTGCAGGTTGGGAGGCTAGCAGAGGGGGAGGAGTAGCTGCTAATTTTTTCTCTGGAAGGCAGAGGAAGTGACTGGACTCGCTGTACTTGTGACTTAATTTCAACGGGCAAGGAAGAAGGCCTCGGCAAAGAACGGATCAGGAGGACTATGAAAAAAAAGCAACGACTGTGTGGGAGAGCTTGGATGGCCAATCGGACCTGGACTCCTGCCAGTGCTCTGGTCCCAAGCTGTTCCCACCCCCAGATGGGGGCCACTGGAGGGCTGGGGCCTCCAAGGCCATCATTCTTCTCCGTCAGCGACTGTGCCAACAGGAGGTCGCTGAGACCATGGGGCTGTGAAGGCAATGAGCTCCTGTGAGGGCCCTCAGTTCTAAGGACATGCACACAAAGTACTCAGCTAAGGCGTGAGCATTACAGGTGATTCTCTCTCTCTTTCGAGCCCCCCAAAAGTTTTCTAAGTTAAACTGGGAAAAGCAGATATCAGGGAAAGGAGCTCATGCTGGGGGTACAATGCCGAGGGACCACTTGGAGAGAGGAAATTTCCCAATTCTTCTTTGGCTTGTGGCTTTTTGTTCATCGGAAGGGTTCCTGGCAGAATAAGGGGAAGCAGATGAGGAGGCAGATAAAGACCATGGGAGGGCACACAGTATTCCGAGGGAGGCAGCCTCTGGCCATGGACTCTAGCCAGGGCCACTGCGAGCTCGAAGGGGCTGGCACTCCTGCTGGTGACTGCGCTCTGAAAACACATGATGCATAAGCAGAGGTGGTATGAGGTGTCTGACCACAGATACTAGTGAGCGCTCACTCTTCACCAGACACTGTTCCAGGTGCTGGGGCTCAGGAGTGAACTAAATCGCCAATAATCTCTGCCCTCAGGGACTTACAGTCTAGCAGAGGGTGAGATGAGAGAGCATCAGTCTGATCCTGCATTTGTTGACAACACTGTGGTACTTACTTGAGCATAGGGTCTC